CCTAAATCTCAGCCTTAAATAGCCCAAGAAATATTTATTGTATCCTCAAGTGAAACTTAAATACCTTTCCTCTTTTACAATTTCTGAATGACCCAGCAAGGGCTCTAGTAAAGCTTTACTGAACCAAGCTGCTAATAGTTATTTAATGTTGTTCTGTAGCCTGAAAGAATCTCAGTAGATTTTTCCTTTTAATCTCTTTGAACTGCAGGCTCATAAACCTCTCTGATGAGCCTGCCAGTGTTTTCTTAGATCCTGCAGTTGAGACAATGGAGCTGCAGAATCCTTTCACCTCTTGTTGTCAGACAAATCCAATAGATGGCAAAGCCAGGCAGGCTGTACTTCTTGTGAATTAAAATTTGTTTTTCAAGTTACGGACAATCTTCCCTAGGTGCTTAGGAAGGCGTTTGAGAAAGTACAGCTCGATGCACAGAGCTCTGCGGCGTGAGCCGACGTCACATATGAGTAAGCCTACCACAGAACTCGGTACTGGTAACACCACCAGTCTTAAATAACCTTCTCTGGCAAGGGAGTGAAAATCAGACACCGGTTCTCGTCAGAGAACCACTAATGAGGGAGTCATGGCTGTAATAATGATCATGTAGATGAAATAAGAAGAGCACAAGAAATATTAGTCACTAACACACTCTGAAAACCATTGGGTTTGTAGTTCTGCTTGTAAGCTCCCCATGCTCGTACTAGGCTGTGTCTGGTTTTAAGTATACTGTCTTAAAATATACTGGATTGGGTTAGTGTATTTAATAGGAGAATTAGAAAATCAAAAAGCTTTGTTCAACTCTGGAAAATGTTTCTCGTGCTTGAGCCAGATAAGCAAATAAACGCAGCATACAAAACCGACTGACAAGAGCGGTCACTAGATTATGTGCCAAGTTTGGAGACTTACTCAAGAGTACTAATTGAAACTTTACATCTTTTAAGATAACCAGTAAGACTCTTTCAGACTTGAGCATCAGACTAGGAGTAATGATCCCAGTTCAGGCTGGGAATTGTATGAAGGATTAATTTACCTGTTGTTTGGTTGGGGTTTTTCTCAATTTTTTTCTTTTTGAAATTACAATTGCAGTAATGAATTAGAAGAACTTGGTTGAAATTATGTTTCCTGGGCTTCATATTGTACTATGTTTGGAATAGAAGAGAGGGTAGGCTTTTCCTCAGCTGCCTTCTCCGTTACTTCATGAGTAACTTTACTTCAGGAAGTATAGTAATCTCATGAATCTGCATCTTGCCAGTTCTCTTCATGGTGGTATATGGAACATCTGCCCTTTTTGTATTTTTCTGCCAGCAAGACATGACCCAGACCTCCACTTCCAATCCTATAAAACTTGTTCTGAGTGAAATCTTGCTTCATGAATTCCAAATAGGAGGGCCTGGTTTCTCTTTAACTTATTTTTTTACTTCCTATAAATGAAGCTTAGGAAAAACCTGCTCTTCCTACAACCTAAGAGACCATTTTCCTTTGTGAATTTTTCTTCTTAGTATTAAAAAACCAAAACAAACAAAAAAACCCCAGGTGAAATGGGAAGCACTTGCCTTTTTTGTATTGTTCTCACAGTTACAGTATTGTTGTCTTCTACTGCAGTGGAGAGAAGAACCTGAAAGTAGGGAGGTAGACAGACTTCATTTTGATCTCGGCTTTTTTTTCCTCCTCAAAAAAAGAGGAGGAGGAATCTTTACTTCACACAAGGCTTGCTGGAGGAAACGCCTCTAGTTTTGAGGGTGTTTTCCGGACGTTCACCATTCCTGTTCTCATGCTTTGTAGCTAGAAGGCTGTACCAGACTAACTCCAAGTAACATTAGTTATTTGGCATGAGTTAAGACCATCTGACTTTTTCTTTTATTTTGGACATTTCATGCGGTTAACTAATGTTCTGATCAGGTGTTAACAAACATGTTGTTAGTTTGTATAACTAAAACATTATCCAGAGCTCTTGTTTATGTAATTGAGAGCATGCACAACAACGAGAACGACTGATTGATAGGTATATCTTCCAGTTTTCTTTCATTGTTATATTCCTGATGGATTTTTTTTTCCTTTCTTTTGACAGCAGTAAAGTATTAGGTGTAGTGGGTTAATTTTCTTTTAATTCTGACCTTTTCATTACAGAACAGGTGTTCAGCCAAAGGTAATGTCAAAGAGGGTGTACTGATTGTCATTATTTCCGATGTGTGTGATTTGTTTTAATCTCCTTCATTAAAACAAATTTAGCTGAGGCTCATTCTCAAGGATATATCATTTACACTTCAGTTCAAATTGGAACAGTCATTTAGTTGCAAAATAAATACTGAGACTTAATATTTGGTGGTGTGTTGTTTTGTTTCTTTTTTTTAAACTAGCCTTAAATTTCCTATTCAAAAACCCAAAATGTAAGTATTAACTCTTCCCTCGTCCTTATATATAAGGCTAGCTAAAATGCAAGGGGTTCATTTCACTGCTGGTACATTACATTAACACTTCCACCTGGGATGTAGAAGTGAAGTACACTTCTACTCTTAGAATTGATAGAGCCATGAAAGGAAAGGAAAACAAACAAAAAAAACCCAAAACAACAGGTGGGTTAGATTCTGAAGTTAACTTAGATAATTAACTATAGAAAAAGCTGTACTTAGTTATTGCTAGGATTATACTTTCACAGTAGCTTTAAACTTCTTTGCAACAATTTGCAGTACTTTGTTGTAAGTTAGGAACCTTGTGAATAGCTTGCTTTACATAGCTATCTATATGTGAAACCTCCTCTAGCTGACACTGCTTGTGCAGGAGGGTTGGGTTAGGTGATCCTGAGAGGTTCTTTCTGACCTCAACTGCTCCGTGATTTTGTGAAAAGTACAGGTAAGCAGGCACAATTTCAACTTGTGGAATTGTCGTTACAGCCAGGCTTTTAAAAGGTATTTATATCAAAACAAAAGTTTGCCCCTAATTTCACATAATTGGGATGCACAAAAGGACTGGTTTCAGTACTGTGTTAATTTCCGTAATACATTTTCACTGTTTACTTCTCCTGGCTGCAGTAGGATGTTTTCCAGCTTATGCAGAGATATGGAAACTAAAATTTCAGAGAACTGCATTTTTAGCTGATAATGTGGCCTAGGTACAACTCTCCACTAGAAGCCAGATTGACTGCTAGGTATATAAAACTATTAATTTATCAGGAAGAAATATGGACCTGTGTGTTAGCAAGGTTGAACATCTGTCATGTTTTCTTTATAGAAGATAATCTGACAAAAGAATGGCCACTGCATGCACAAATTTATCTTGAGGATATGTCCTGGAATGAAGGTATGAGTGCCTCACTACTTGTTCTCAGTGCCTTTCATTGTCACTGCAAATGTTTTCTATTTTTTCTATATCTATACCATTATGTTGTCTTATTGTAAGCTCTACCTTTTTTTTGTTTTCCTCAGATTTAGCTATTCTGTTCTCTGTGATGACCTGAATTGCAACTTAACTTTCTGTGATAGCTTGTTTTGCATTCCTTTTTCATCCCTGCCCCCTACTTGCAGTACCACTTTTCACCTAGTGCACTCCTTGTAGTATAACTGAGTATTGAGATTTCCAGATTCTTCCCAAATGTCTCGTGCATCTTCTTGCTCTTTCTGTGATGGTAGAATGCAAGTGTTTTCATTTGACAGTGTTACTTTCCTCCTTTTTTGAATGAATGGCTGAATTTTTTACTATTTGGTTTTTTAAGCTGTGAGGGGAAAATCCTATCTATTTTCCTTTCTCCTGTTTTATTTGTTTCCTCTCTTAGCAGTCTATTTTGGAATCATCCTTGATCTGTATGTGTATGACTAACACCCTTTAGTTTTATCTTTTAATATCTGTTTCACTGGTGTGCACCTTTTTTATTATTTGCTCTTCTAAAGAGACTACACTGACCCCAGCTGTTCGGCATAAGACTGCCTCAGTCACAGAAACATTTTTAAGAGTATAGCTATTTTTTTGAGAAACAAATGGTAGCACAGTTACTGATACTTAGAATCCAGGTCATTTGTTATTAAGAGCAGCTTTGTGAAGAAAATCCAAAATAAATTCTTGATTCTTCTCAAGCATTAAAGGCTTTTTTGTTTTCTTTTTTGGCAGATGAACAATGTTATACTCTATCGTGTCGATGTGGTGGGAATTACACTGTCTTCAAGAGTGAAACCAAAGACGTATCTTTAGTTTGTTGTGACACATGTTCACTTGTTATTGAGATCCTTCAATGACTGTTTCAATGAAGCACATCAAGAATTACAAACCTTTAAAAAGACTGGACAAATGGGAGAGCATCTGCTAAAGAAATGTATTTTAAAGAAAAGGAGGGCACTACAAGAACAAGTTCAAGTTAGGCTTAAGAAAGGAAATATGCCTGTTTACTAACATAGCTCTGCAAACATGAGGCTTGTTTATTTTCCTTCTACAGCTGAAGAGCTAGTTATTACAAACCTCCAGAACAGAACAGAACACCAAGTTCTGTACAACTGGAATGTATCTCATGATCTAAGTGACATTTCTTCCTCAATAAACAACAGAGTAGCTTCTTTCAGTCTCAGTCTGTACCAACTATACCTTGGGCCCTACCTCCTAGGTTAAATCCTTTTAACAGCTCAGATGACAAAATTTAATCAGGAGGCATACATGTGAGAATGCTTTGAAGGTAATGAAGAGTAAGGTGCATTAATGGGAAAGAGGAACATTTTCTATTTCTATGCTAAACATTTAACTTCATCAAATCCTCATAAGGACTTGAGCCTTGGGAAGAGGTGGCAGAGACTCGCAGATCTAACAGGCCAGTTGTCTTGGTACTAAGTAGCTGGACTGTAACAGTACATCTACAGTAACTTTTCAGCTTGGAGCAGGAGCACATTTTGAATTGACTCCATCTGAACAAATGTGGACTTCCTTCCTTAGATGAAAAATAACCAGGAAGTGAGGCTCTGACCCCCACTGGGCATGGCACTAGAGCCAGTTTAAGGAAAACCCTACAAAACACATACAAGTGACCAGCAGGATCCAGAAGCCTGCGGTTACTGTTTTCAGTTCCAATCGTAGCATGCCACACTACTTGCTAATGTAGGTATAGCCTGCACATGGCTCTGGATGTGTGACAAGATAATAGTTCATTGCACTTTTTTCATCCCTTGTTAATGGTCAATGCTAACCTTGGCTTGTAGTGAAAACCAAAACTTTCTAATAAATCCAAGCACTTACTGTGAATAGCCAGAGGAAAGAGAGTAAGAGTCATGTCATTTCTGTTGATGACAGCAGTATATTGTTCCTATTTTCAAGTTAGATGTAATCTCAGAAAGAGACATCTTTGTCAAGTAATACTTGTGTTTATTCTTAACAAAAATAATTCCATTGATTTTAGTAGAAAATATTATGAAAGCTGGCAATAGTCACTTAAATCTATTAATCATCAAGAAATCTGTGGCCGTTGGGGCTTGCACGTAGAAATCCGAAGTCATTCAGAGGCCATATCTGTAAAATAAAATACAGTTACAAGAGATTTTAATCACAATTCAAAGTTCAGTATTTTCATTTGTTATTGTTGTAATTGTTTCATAAACTGCATAATTTTTTAGCTCTTTGGTTGACACGGTATATGAAGTTTTCTTACCTGGGTGCTACTTTTACTAGGAGCAATACTACTATATATCAGGAGTAACCATCATTCTGTAGTGGCCGGAGACACTACTAATTTATACACAGCATGCTTTGCTATGGAGAGCCTCACAAATTACATTTTTTTTCAGCCTTGGAAATTCACTTCTAGAAAATATCTTTCAAATTCAACATTTTCTTGCTTGTAAACCTCTTAACAACTTAAAGACAAAGTATATATTTTTTTGATCCATCAGGAGAAGAAAGAATGCCACGAGTTCTGTCACTTCTATTTTCAAGATGAGCATTTAAACTGCAAACACCAAACCTTGGAACAAAATTCTATACGATTATAGGTAAACTTATACCATACAAAGAGGTATAAAGGGATGGAGTGTCTGCCACCGTCAGGGGCTCTCAACCAAGGGGTTCCTCTGAGAACGGGTCTACTGTGTGGAAAAAGGTGTAAGTATAAGCACAAGTGTCAGAATGATGCTCTCACCATTAAGAAAAAACTTTCTCTCCAGAAATAAACCATATCATTGTTTGTACTAGTGCATGCTCCCAGGAGTACTTTCCTCTGAACATTCACTAATTACATGTAGGCTGGTCTTGGATGCAAAAAAAAGTAATAGGGAATCAAGGACATTCTTCTACACTTTGTCCTTTGTCTCCCTTAAGTGCCTGTGTCTCTTCACAACACG